GGGGTCCTGAGGGGGTTTGGGGGAGCTCTGGGGGGTCCTGAGGGGATTTTGGGGGGTCCTGAGGGGGTTTTGGGGGAGCTCTGGGGGATTTTGGGGTCTTTGTGGACTTTTTAGAGACCCTGGATGGAATTTTGGGGACCCTGGGGTGGAATTTTGGGGGTCCTGAGGTGAAATTTGGGGGTCCTGAGGTGGAATTTGGGGGTCCTGAGGTGAAATTTGGGGGTCCTGGAGAACTTTGAGGATTTTGGGGGGGGTCTCTGATGATTTTTTGGGATTTTTCCCCCTTTTCCCAGGCTGTGCTCCCCAAAACCGGGACCCCCACGGCCACTGCAGCCCCCCAAAAAACCCGGAGCAGCCTCGAGGTGAGTGGGGGGTCCTGGGGGGGTTTTGGGGGGATTTTTGGGGGGATTTGAGGGTCTTGGAGGGGATTTGGGGGGAAATTTGGCGATTTTGGGGGGGCATGTGTGGATTTTGGGGGGATTTGGGGGGTCCTGGAGGGAATTTGGGGGATCCTGGGGGGGATTTTGGGGGAAATTTGGGGATTTTGGGGGGGAATTTGTGGATTTTGGGGGGATTTGGGGGGTCCTGGAGGGGATTTTGGGGGGAAATTTTGGGATTTTGGGGGTCCTGGATGAAATTTTGGGGGGAATTTGGAGATTTTGGGGCTCCTGGGGATGATTTTGGGGGTCCTGGAGGGGATTTTGGGAGGAATTTTGGGATTTTGGGGATTCCTGGTGGCACAAAAAGATTTTTGAGGAGGATTTTTGGGGATTTTGGGGCTCCTCTAAAACCTTTTCCACCCTCAGGAATCCAAATCTTTCGCCGTGGGGATGTTTTTGGGGCGCCTGAACGTGGAGCAGGTGTTCCCTTATCCCTCAGGTGAGGACACCCCAAAATCCAGGGAAATTCGGGAGCAATCCAGGAAAATTGGGGAGAATTTTGAGGGAATTTGGGGGAAATTTTGAGGGAAATTTGGGGGAATTTTTGGGGAATTTTAAAGGAATTTTGGGGAATTTTAAAGGAATTTTGAGGGAATTTTAAAGGAATTTTGAAGGAATTTTGGGGGAATTTTGGGGATAATTTTGGTGGAATTTGGGGATGATTTTGGGATAATTTTGGGGCAATTCCAGGATAAATCCAGGATAATTTCTGGAGAATTCCAGGACAATTTCAAGATAATTCCAGGACAATTTGGGGATAATTTGGGAATAATTCCAGGACAATTCCAGGATACTTTTGGGACAATTCCAGGATAATTTTGGGATATTTTTTTGGATAATTTCAGGATAATTTTGGGATAATTCCAGGATAATTTTGGGGTAATTCCAGGATAATTTTGGGATATTTTTTGGATATTTTTTGGGATAATTTTGGGATAATTTCAGGATAATTTCAGGATAGTTTTGGGATATTTTTTTGGATAATTTCAGGATAATTTGGGGATAATTCCAGGATAATTTCGGGATAAATCTGGGATAATTTCAGGATAATTTCAGGATAATTTTGGGACAATTCCAGAATAATTTTGGGATATTTTTTGGGATAATTTCAGGATAATTTTGGGATAATTTCAGGATAATTTCTGGATAATTTTGGGATAATTCCAGGATAATTTCAGGATAATTTCAGGATATTTTTGGGATAATTCCAGGATAATTTTGGGACAATTTTGGGATATTTTTTGGATATTTTTTGGGATAATTTTAGGATAATTTCAGGATAACTTTGGGATAATTCCAGGATAATTTTGGGATAATTTCAGGATAATTTTGGGATAATTTCAGGATAATTCCAGGATAATTTTGGGACAATTCTGGGATAATTTCAGGATAATTTTGTGACAATTCTGGGATAATTTCAGGATAATTCCAGGATAATTTTGGGACAATTCTGGGATAATTTCAGGATAATTTTGTGACAATTCTGGGATAATTTCAGGATAATTCCAGGATAATTTTCCCTCTTTTTTTCCCCCTCCCAAGTCCTGACCGAAGAAGAAGAACAAACCCTACAGGAACTCGTGACTCCCCTCAGCCGCTTCTTTAAGGTAAAAAACAAAAAAAACCCCAAATTCCCACTTTTTCCACCTTCCCAACCTTCCCTAAAAACCTCAGGAATTCCGGGAATCATCCCCAAATCCCAAAAATTCCCAAATTTCCGGGCAGGAAGTGAACAACCCCGCCAAAAACGACGCCCTGGAGAAGGTGGAGGACGAGACCATGAAAGGGTTAAAGGAGTTGGGGGCGTTCGGGCTCCAGGTGCCCCCAGAATTTGGGGGTTTGGGTCTCAACAACACCCAGGTGAGGTTGAGGGACCCCAAAATCCTCTCCCAGTTACTCCCAGTAACTCCCAGTTCCTCCCAGTAAATCCCAGTTTCTCCCAGTAAATCCCAGTTCCCAAAAATCCCCCCCAAACTTCCTCAAATTCCCCTCAAATTACCCCAAAATCCTCCCAGGATTCCCCAAATTCCCTCCAAATCTTCTCAAATCTCTTCCCAGTAACTCCCAGTTACTCCCAGTAACTCCCAGTTACTCCCAGTAAATCCCAGTTACTCCCAGTAAATCCCAGTTCCCAAAAATCCCCCCCAAACTTCCTCAAATTCCCCTCAAATTACCCCAAAATCCTCCCAGGATTCCCCAAATTCCCTCCAAATCTTCTCAAATCTCTTCCCAGTAACTCCCAGTAAATCCCAGTTACTCCCAGTAAATCCCAGTAACTCCCAGTAAATCCCAGTTCCAAAAAATTCCCCTCAAATTTGCCCAAAATCCCCCCAAGATTCCCCAAATTCCCTCAGTTTTCCCCCCAGATCTTCTCAAATCCTTTTCCAGTTCATCCCAGTAACTCCCAGTCCCTCCCAGTCCCTCCCAGTAACTCCCAGTCCCTCCCAGTCCCTCCCAGTAACTCCCAGTGCTCTCCCAGTGCTCTCCCAGTGCTCTCAAACCTCCCCAAATCCCCTCAAATTCCTTTCAAATCCCCCCAAAACCCCCCTGGGACCCCCCCGGGACCCCCCAATCTCCCCCCAGTTGGGGTCCCAGTGGCTCCCAGTGCCTCCCAGTAACTCCCAGTCCCTCCCAGTCCCTCCCAGTGCTCTCCCAGTGCTCTCCCAGTGCTCCCAAACCTCCTGAAATCCCTTTCAAACCCCCTCCAAACTCCCCCAAACCCCCCCAGGACCCCCTGGGACCCCCCGATCTCCCCCCAGTTGGGGTCCCAGTGGCTCCCAGT